TGTTTAAACTTTGCAAATCTTGTGTGTCCTTTCTGCCCCATAGTCATGTGTACAGTACTACCTACCAGCACTTAAAAACTTGTTTTTTTAAATTTGGACTCCACACAAAATCAAACGGTATGCAAACGTATAGAATTACAATGGTATCAAGATAAGTTTTAGAACTTGGTCAGCTTTCTAATACTGTCGTGAAGGAATCATTCTCTTTCTTACTCCTACTCTTGGAAGCAATTTAAAATGAGAATTGTGAGGGTAGATGTGTGTTTGCCCCCAGCTACTGTGATTTTTATTGTTTCCTAGCTTTCTCTTTGCCTGGATGTGTTTTATTCAGAGGTGTTGCTGTTCTCAGTTTTGAGAGTTTGGCTGCTGAACGTCAGGAGAGTATTTAATTTCTTATTCTTATATCTGAAGAATCCATGCAGGAGGTCAAATTAGTTAATTAAAGAAGATTACCTCTTTGCTGATCTGAAGTATGCTTATTGCAACAGCATGCAGATACAGTCTAAAATAGATCTTGGTGATGAATCTCAGATTGTTGCAGACTGTGGGATTCCAGGAAAACGCTAACGCTGTGTATAGACACTGGGAAACCTGGTGGCCCTCTGGGGAATTTCAGATTGGTTTTTACCAGGCTCCTAACAGATGCTGTTCAAATATGTTGGACCAAAACTGGCATGTCTAAAGTTAGACTAAGTACAGATTTAGGAGTCTTACTAAATGAAGAAATCGTGACGTGTGTTACTGTCTATCTTCAGCTCCCATTTAACTTAGTGGGATTTACATTTGATCAACAGCCTAAAAGGTCAGACATCTTTTAAATAGAAACACAATCTCAGTTTCAAAGACCAGGAACATGTAGTTTAGGCTTTTGAGTCTTGCAATGTGTGGATATTATCTAAAGATGATTGAGGAAGAGAGAGCATGGCAAAAACAGTTACCTGCTTGGGTTTGGACTGGTGTTCTAAGCAGATGTAACAGGGGGCAGAGAGAAGTCATATTTTTCTACTTGGGTTTTTAACTACCTTGTGGCTTTTTATTTCCTTAGCTGATTTCACTAGAATGTATATCCTGGTCACGGCCCAAGAAAACAAATTTCAAATATAACATAAATTATATGTAAGATAAAAATACACATTTTTGAGAAAATTCCTTGTCCTCATCAACAAAACTCTTTTGCCACATCTGCATAACATCTCTCAAATTCTGTTGACTTCTGAGGTCAGTTTTTATTTTGTTGATAGGTCGCAACATTTAAGAAGTAACTTTAAGACTGCTGTTCCTGAGTATATACAGCAGTTAAAACTGCAGAATCTATACAGCAGAACAAGAGAGCAGTTGTATTTTGGTATGTGTGCACACTGAATATAAACATATCATCTTGTAATGCTTTAGTTGGACCTTACAGTTTATCAGGCCTTGATGCATTTTACTTAGCTGAAGTCTCAGGGTTGTTCTCACATGTATGAGACTATTATATGATGTGCAAATATACTGATATGCAATATAATTAAAATTCATTTTTTGTTCTAGTTTTGATAGTCATAGGATTTTGTGGAGATGGACAAATTATGCCAATTTTAATCTAATATTCAACTTTTCAAATGTATACTTTGTGAGGTGAAACTTTGTAAATTCACACTGAGTTGGGAGCAGTCTGAGCTGTCAGTGACCCACCCTCACAATACCAGCAGAGAAATGAAATGAAGAAAGAAATGAAGAGACACCATCCACTCATTACTCGTGTGGCTGCTTTGGGGTGGTGTTCAGCACAGGCAAGAGAAGCTTCAGGAGCAATCTGCAAGCTCTTTCAACCTCAAGAGAGAGTCAGACTCTTCCCAGACCTGCCCAGCAAATGAGGAAGGGGCAGTGTCACAGGTAGTGAGCCTCAAGTTCATGTCCCAAGAGACAATTCTTCCTCGAGAGGTGGGGTTTGAGCTCTGGAACTGGCTGCCCAGTGGTTTTGGGCTCTCCATCTCTCAACACTTGCTAAGCTTGCTTTTGGCTCTGAGCAACCTCATTGAACTTAAAATAATTTCTGTGCTAAATGTGTGTTAGGACTAGATGACTTCTGCAGATATGTTCTGACTCTTTTTTTCTTTCTTGTGATTCTGTATCAAGCAAGATTTAAGTTTTATGTAGAGTATTACTTCTTAATGGGAATATGTCAACTGATAGAATTGCAGTCTAGATTTCCTAACCTCTTCCTTCTGAAATGCCATTAGAATCCTTGATTTAATGATTTGTTTCAGTATTCATTTTAATACTAATCATGTTACTGATTCTGTACAGACTTAATTTTAATCTTTTTAGTTTATTTTTGAAAAACACTGTCAGAAGTCAACCTCATAGTTGACCCATAGGGCCTTGACTGACTTGAAGGTTTGTGTAGTTACTGATGCCTGTCTGCTGAGGTGGCTGTGCTGCTGCAGGTCAGTTTGGTAGATAGGCCCAATTTGCAGCATGATCTTTCTTTTAGCTAGAAATCCTTGCATTAGGTCACCTTTGCTGATGTAACAATCTTTTTGACTTGAACTCTCTAGAATATTTCTGTCTTGACTTGGTGCTGTTGTCTTTGTAAGGTCTGGTGCTAATTATCAGATGAAAGGAAGTTCTCCCCCAAAGAACTTAGCCTTTGTGAAATTAAATTTTATTGGAGATACTCTGTTTCTGCTGTATGTACAGTAGCTCCTTTTGTATAAGAAGCATTTTTCTTAAAAGATAAAAAATGTGTTTAAAATCTAGCAATGCACTTCTAGTTTCTTTATGTTTTACTGTGGGATCTTCTGCTATGACACCAAATAACTGTATGGTACTCGAGAGCTTTTGTTCTTAGAAAAAATACAGAGCTTTTTGCAGAAATCAGGGTTATAGAACCCAAAGCCAGCTGCAGGTCCCAGCTTTCCCTACTCACTGTTTATTCTCTTAAGATAAATCATTTGACTCTGAGTTTGCATTAGTGACAGGTTAAGCTGCCAGTGTAAACATTGTAGGATTGAGTATTTTGAAAGTTGTGTGTAATTTCGTGAAGGAACTAAACCCACGAGTGTCCGGAAGCAATCTAATGTTGCATGTGTTTGAATAATATTTTGCAATGTTCATGAGAAAGGGAAGTAAGTATTTAGAACAGTATTGGTGAAATGGTAACAGTTTATGTTTCTTAATTTTTGTTTACTGAAAATAATTCTTGACACATGGAACTTTTACTCAAGTTTCCATGCAAAGTTGATCCTGGAAGTAGGAGAGACGCATGAGTTGCTGTACAGCCAAAAAACGCCATTATTTATAGTTGGGTAATCTTTCAATTTATTTTTGATAATACAATTGGATTAGAGTGAAAATGTTTTGGTTTTAAATCTCGGAGTTTGGGGTCCATTTGTGAAATGCTAGACATCTTCAGTTTTTAAAAGAAATATCAAATAGTTCTCAGTTTCTTGCAATTAATGTATGTTTATCAGAAGTGGAACCCATCAAATTTAGAATTTGCAACTGTGATGTTCACCATCATTCTTTTAAATGCTTTATATTTTAGTCCTCACTGTCAAATTATCATTTTCTTTGTTAAGAGTGTGGGGATGATGTCAGATTTTCAACATAGCTCCATCCTGGAAGAATGCTAAACTCTCTTAAAACGGGAGGGATGAACCACTGAGTACACAGCAAGAGCAGTTTGGATTAGATGAACCTGCACACTTAACCTGCAGAAATAAATTCCTAATAAAATGTAGTACTTGTGGCTGCGCTACTAAATGTTGTTTTTTCTCTTTATTTTTCTTCTTCCACATGTAGAAGCTGCAGACTTTTTGGTCAGTTCACTTCTCCTGTAACTTTAGTTAGCAACAGTTATGAAGAAAAAAGTAGGAAAGCAAATAAAATAAGTAGTTTTTAAAAAACAGAACCAGAAAGTATTTTTCTTTTGTATAAATATACTTGAAATTATCACTGAAGAATTTGTGCATATTGGTATGGATCTTGGTCTTGCTGTAGAGAAGAGCAGAAAATTCCATTCCCTACTGCTTAGATGTTAGGTTTGGAGGATCTTTGTTTCTTCTTTTCTGTAAAGATCTAAACAAGGTCTAAATATGTCAGTTAACACTGACATGCTTCTGTAGTGTGAAACACACATTGCTTAAGTGAGTTAGGTTTTTAAAGATACTCTACTAATTTATATACTGAAGAAATGGTTCTGGTATGGGATGCTGATCAAAATTTTCTTGTTAAAAAGTTGTAGATAACAAACTTTGAAGAAAAATATGTACTGATTACGGGTTTGTTTTATAGATCTTGACAATATTGTTTAATTTGACTACATTTAATCAAGACTTAATGGGCAAATTTAATATTACTGATGTTTTTAATTGTTTAAGAAACTTGATCTGTGCGATTGGGTTTTATGTAAATGCTGAAAAGGTGTTTAAAAAGCTTTCAAAGGATCACTTTTACATGTTTATGGAGGGCTTTGAAATGGGCAGACTATGTTATGTTCTAACTGGAAAACATTTTCTGTACTATTTGATGTGAAAGAATAGTGCCAGTGGTGAAGGATAGCAAACAGTGAGCTAGGTCAGATACAGATGATAAAAAGCAGACTTGAGCTTTCTCTTAATTATTGCATTAGAAATATTTAACTGTCATTCCAACAGAACGATAAATTTTTCTGGAGCACAGTAATTCAGCAGTGCAGCTGACAAGATTGGTTAAAGATTGTCTTTTTTTAAGTGATTGTGAATTAGTCTTCAGTGCAGGTGCTTTGAAACTGTAACTTAGGATTTCTTTGATCCTTTTCTTCATTTAATTTATTAAAACGTTACTTGTTGGTTCAGAAGCTTTAACATGATGTTCTTCATTGTATCCTGAAAAATTTGACCAGACCATTTTGTTCAGATTCCTGCGAAATTTGTATTAGTTTTGTAACTTGTTTTGTTTCACGTTTGTTCTGAATTTGGATTTCTGGTTTTGTCTGAGGCTACTCCATGATTAAAACAGCTGCTGTTCCTTCACAGGCCTATGAAGAGTACACCAGCAAGCTTGATGCTCTACAGCAGAGAGAACAGCAGTTACTGGAATCCATGGGGAATGGAACTGATTTCTCTGTCTCCAGTTCAGCTTCAACAGACACAGTTGCATCATCTTCCTCCTCTAGCCTCTCTGTAGCACCTTCATCCCTTTCAGTTTATCAAAACCCTGCTGATATGTCACGGAATAACCCTAAGTCTCCACAGAAACCTATTGTTAGAGTCTTCCTGCCCAACAAGCAAAGGACTGTGGTGAGTCAGTTTCTATTCACATACTCGTAACCTCAATATTTCCTGTATCTCTCTCCTTCTGCAGAAGTTAATTTAAGAGCTGAAGAAATACCTGGGTGGAGGTCAGAAGTGTCATGATCACTGTGCTCTGCCACACTGTTGTTTTGATCTGTTGAATGTTTTTGTCAGGATTAACTCAAAAAAGTCCATTATAGCAGTAATACAGAATGCAGAACTTTCAGGAGGGTTTTTTGTAACTATGAAGTTACCACAAGAAATATTTTTATCAAATCAGCTTTATTGGATAAATAGTAATTTACCATTTCACAATAGTTAGGAAGGGACAATAAGCCCTGTTTCTTGTATTATACAAAACTATTGATTAGTTTAACAGGGCAAGGTGTAGGAAGTATTTTCTATGTTGTCAGAGTTACTAGAAGCACTGAATCCTTTAGAGCAAGAGTCAGCCTCTTGCAGCTAAGAAGGTCTGTGCAAGATTGCTTGGTTGTTTTTTTTTTTTAATGTTTTCCTGCCCACTCACCATGGTGAACATTTGTGTGGAGACCACCATGCTTTCAGGTCTTGTGTAGAGAACTGGCATGGGGAGGGACATAATTGCAATTAGAAGGGTCAAGAAGTGTTGCCCACAAACTGCTGGAAACTGGTGTTAACCAATTTTGACAATGTTAAAGTAATTCGTGATGTCATGCAAGAGTAGTTCACTTTTTGCTGCTAGAGAAGGGATTTTTTTTTTTTTATCAGTTCAGAACTGGCAACTGAAGAGCCTTGGTATGTCCTTTAGAATAATCACTGCCAACTGTGATACATTAAATTATTTACAAGCCATAGTCTAGGCTCTGTTTTGCAAGGTGGTTACATAATCCAAACGTAGCAGGGGAATGGTGTTTCCAGAGAAGGTGGGAAATGAATGGACAGCAAGTGTCCATGTCAAACCAGGACATCTTGCAGCAGTCAGTCAGCTGTCAGCTATCTCTGGATTGTTGCTATCTGAATTTGAGTTCCTAGTAAAAAGAAGAAAACATCAACTGAGTAGTGCTGGGTGTTGGAACATGTCCTCACCCTTTCCCAACCACTTTTCCTTTCATCCTTCCTCCACTTCACTGAGCAAAAGACTTACAGTGGGAACAACATTGGAGGGCAACTATTTTCACCTGACTTTTTAAATTAATATTGCTTAATTATTCAAGATATTGCTGAAGATGGAAAGTTTTCTATTTGGGTTTTGACCTAGAGAATGGAAGTTTAATGTAGACTGTGACCACTGTGTAGAATGCGCAGGTGATTCTGTTGTCTGCCTGTTGAGGAAAGTCTGAGTGTGCAGTACTGGAGAGAAGGTCCTGGATTTTGGAGAGCCTCTAGTTTCTTCATGTGTTCTGTCCCACCTTGTCTGGCTATTTGCAGCCCCTGACATGGGGTCCATAAATTGTTTTTTCTTTCCTGTGAAGGATCACAGCATATTGCTTCCTGCATTGTTCTGTGCATTACCTTTTTTGTCTCTCCTATTTGTTCTCCCATCCTCTAATCCACATAGTGTAATTCTACTCTTATTCTTTTCCCCTCATCTGCAATACTCTTATTCTACTTGTCTCTCCCTTTTTACCTCCTCCACAATCCTGTTTTATTTTTCACAGCACTAGATGCTCCTTCTGGGCTATGGGATGCAAATATGGTTTAACTTGGCTGTAGTGAGGGAGAGGCTCTTGCCTCTGTCCTCAGCTTTCTAGTGGAGGCTGAGCACTGTTTGCCTTACAGGTTCCAGCTCTGCTGCTTGTTTCCAGCTTGCTTTGGTTCCTTTTATTTCAGTTTTATACACTGCTTGGATCAAGTTGTCTTGATAAGTTGAACTTTTTTTCTTATTTTCTTTTCATGTACTACTGAAATATCTCTGGTTTAGAGCTGAAACATGGTGCTTGTAGGAGCTCTTGAGTGTGGGGGTTATTGACCTTGGAGCTGAAGTTCATTTCTCTGAAATTTCAACCTTGTCCTCATTTTATTGAGAAAGTCAGGAGTTTCTTGTATGGTGACTCTTAATGTAATTACTTTGTTTTCAGTGTTTATTGATCTTACATGTAGTCTGTTGGGAACTAAGGAAATGCCAGGAGCAGCCACAATCGAGAAGGACCTGCAGCAGCTTACTGAATCCTGGAGTGCATGAAGCACAGCATCACTAACTGTTTGGGAGAGGTGATTCTACTCCTCTCCTTGAGTGTGGCCTCACCTTGAGCACTGAGTGCAGTTTGGGTGCCACAATTTAAGATTCTCTGATTCAGTGCAGTTTTAATGGCCAGCACTCAGACAATGGGTTACTAACCTGGAAAAGCATCCAGCATTTCTCAGTGGATGCTGGGACTGCTTCCTTCATACTTTCAGTGAATTCAGAAATGTTGCACACATTTGTCCTCCTTCATAACCTCTGGCTTGTAAAGCAGACTGGCTGTGTCTCACTTGTGCCCATTAACTGAGCTATTTGCTTATGTAGCTGTGGTGGTAGTTCAGGTATGCAGGGTGGCTTGTGATGGGTTGAAGCAGGAAGGAGTTTCCTTGTGAAAATATGTGGTACCCACCATTAGAGCCTTCCCCCTGCCCTAGTTCACAATTCCATGTGGCTGTTAAAGCAAGGCTGATGTGTTCTACAATCAAGCAGGTGGCTGGGAGAGATACTGTTAAATTTGCAGTGTTGCAACAATCTCCTCTCTGCCTCAACCTCAATTGCTTTCAATTACTATCTACTTCTGAAAGAAAATCTTGTTAATATCACAATAATTTCAGTCTCTATTTTCAGTTCACTTCAGGAGGGGAGAAATGTTGTCAGATCCTAAGGAGTCTGTTTCTGTCTGGGAATGCCATGACATTTCTTAAACTGACTTAAAGTGACTGGAATTGAGTTGGTAACAGAGAGCCAACCTCGTTATTTATCTTTGATCACTCTGAAGCAGCCCCAAGTACTACAACAGCCTTCTGCTATTTGTTTAGAGCTGCTAAAAATGCAGGAAATGGGGGGGGGAGTTGCTTGCATATCTTACATTTTTGACTAGCAACTGCCTTGTTGAGAGTTCTCTGCGTGTTATTGTTTGTGTAGGATCAAGCAAATACATCTGTTGGAGCTGACTCCAGTTCAAAATGTAATCTAAGGCAACTGGTGGAGTACAAAGAAATGAGACTGTGGTGTTCAGTGTAAGTGATGGTGGTGCTGAGGTAGTGTAGCTGATGGGAAGTTTCTTTGTGTGTGTCATGATAAGGAACAGCATTGGACAAACCTTTTCCTAATGGAGGACAAGGTGTGAAGATGCTTGCTTGAAAGCCTGATGGGTCTGTAGCAGAGCTTACTGCTGCTGATAATTTGGAGTCAGCATTTTGATTCAACTGGGTTCAAAAGTAACTTTTTTTTCAAAGCAAAAACAAATAGTTGGCTTGGTTAGCTGGAGGGGGGAATCAATGAGTAAGTAGTGTCAGAAATACAAGATGGTTTTCCTTGGCCTGGAAAGGGATGAAGACAAGTTTCTTTTCCTGAACAACCTCCTAGAAGAAACAACAGACTGTATTTTCTTCTCTGTGCTAGGGTAACTTTATCCCGTGTAATGTAGAGTTAGAAACATGTATGCTACTTTGCTTAGTGGCTTTGTTCAACTGGCAAGTCACACATCCTTTGGAGAAGCATTCCACACAAATGTCACCCAGATAAGTCTGTGTGGGTGGGTTTGTTCCATTTTGTTCTAGGCCAGAGAGAAGGATGCTGAAATGATAAAAATGTAAGAGGTGCAAGTCTACCTGAGATGACAAGTTGTTTTGTGTAGAATAGTTAGTAAGGATAGTGCAGAAGGCAGTAATTCCCAGTGAATTACAGCTGTACTGATTACTGAGGAGTGGAAACAGCCTTGCCTGCCCAGTGACATGGGTGGTATAAAAGAGTGGGTGAGCTGGTCAAGAGTGAGTTATGGTTGGAGCTTGAGACTGAGAGTGTGCTGCAGTTAGGGATGGAGTTGCTGGCTGTGCTGTGAGGAGGAAGGGACGTGTGGTTGTGCAAGGGACAGGCAAGCTAAGGGGATGTTGTGTGAGGGACAGACAGGGTTAAGGGGACAGGTTGGGGTCTAGCCAGTCGTGCAGAAGGAAGAAGGGAACTTGAGAGAAGTCTCTGTGTGAAGTAGCTAATGAAGAAAGGAGTCAGTGCTGTGTGGAGCTGCCTGTAAGAAAAGGAGGCAGAGTTTCCGGAAAGAAGGCATGTAAAGCTTTTAATAAAGGACTGACGATGGTGTCAGTCCGGTCCCTCTCAACATAATTACTACATAATGGTGACAATGATGTGATCAGGATTTGGGCTGTAGGGTGAGGTACAGCTGCAGATGGAGCCTAGTGTAGCTGAGAGCAGAGGGTGAAGCTGCTGGTATGGACCTGATTGATTTTGACACCTGGAGGGATGGTTATCCAGGTGAGCCACTGGCTACAGACTGTTTTATCTATATGAAAAACTTTGGGGGGAAAAAAGGTATTAAGACTGATGAAAGTACTGCCTTTAGTGTTAGAGCATGGAAGAAGATTGTGGAAAGACTGTGGGATGTGGTATCCAAAGAGGACAAGGCAGCCACAGATTTGGCTGCCACCTGGAGATCGCTCTATGAGACTTTAAAGGAATGGAAAACAGAGGTAGTAGAAGAATCAGCATTAAGAAATTGATGTTAATGGGGAACAACAGAAAAATGAGTTTCAGTTTGAGCATGTGTCTGTCCCTGAAATAGAATCTACTAGAGCTGCTTCTGTGTCCCCAAAAATTTGAATTAAGAGCCAAGTTAAAATATGTTACTCCTACACAGCAGGTGGCTAAAATAACTTTATAAAGTAACAAAGCTGAAGAAGGAACAAGTGAAGTAATTAAAGCAACAAGGTACAGGTGAAGCTGAAGACAAAGTAGTTCTGCTTTTCAATGCAAAGCGTCTATTTGATGTTGAAACATACATATTGTGTTTCTAAATTGCAGTTTTCTGATTCTTGAACTTTAATGGTAC